ATTGTAGAATAGATAAACAAGATTACACTGTATAGCACAGGGAAATATACACAAAATGTTATGATAAATCACAGAGAAAAAAATGTGACAATGAGTGTGTATATGGCCATGAATGACTGAAAAATTGTGCTGAACACTGGAATATGACACATTGTAAAATGATTATAAATCAATAAAAAATGTTAAAATATATATATATATTATTATTATTATTTCAGAATTCTTAAGGAAGCAAAAAAGAGGAGAGGGAAAGAAGTGGGGAGGGAAAATGCCTTTGAAGTTTTATTATTATTATTATCAAGGGAAAGGGGGATGGAGAAAGCAAGAAGAATGTTTGTCTCAAGTTATAATTCCATGAATCTAAATCTTCCCATAATTATAGCAAAGGCTTGGGAATTAGACGAGACGTGAGAGTCTGCATTCACAAAGCCACTGTGATTAGCATAAGGGAAATGTTAGGTCATGAGCACACTTTGGTAGAGACAGAACACCCAACTTTCTATTATCCCTCTGGTACTAAGAACTGCCTTTGTAACTGTTGAGCAGGTCTAAGATGGTTTAGCATTCCAGAGAAGCAGTCCCCATAGCGGAGGAGTACACCCAAGGAGGTATACAAGATGATCCACTGTGGTGTGGGATGAAAATGTCAGAACTTCTATTTTTGTTCTATTTAAACCCAGCCTTTAAACATTTCTAATTTGTGTTTATATGTTAAAAAAAATTGACTAAAATATCTAGTATGTTTGTAATTTATGGGTACATTTACGATATAGTATATTTATAAATAAACTAATATTAAAGGCTCATGATCAAACCTTCAGAGAAACATGACCAAACATTTGGAAAAGACTAGTTTAGTGTACTAGGCATATTCCAAATGTGTAGCAGGGGTTCACACGTACACAAAGATATCTCCTCTTCCCTGTCCTCTGTAATAGTGGGCTATTATAACCAGAAAAAATGGTCTTCGTTGTCAGTCCAAGGGAAAGGTATTTTGGCAAACAAGAAGGATCTATTACTCCCTTAAACTCTCCTATTATTTGGGCAATAACTGAATCTTAACTGCTCCAGCTCCCTGGTGGCCATGCTAACAACTTGTCTCAGGCTTTCCCTGTTGCCTGGAATCTACCTAAACGTGACGTCACCACCACACACTTTGCTCTCTAGTAAGTTTTAAAACCAGTCTTCCAATTCTGCAAAAATTATAAAACCAACCTACAACAAATAACTGCTGGAGTTGCTGCTGGGGCCAAGAGTTATGTGACCTCACTATCAGAACACAGGTCTTTTGATGTTACTTTCTTGGCTATAATCTTGGTGCCCGATAAATACATAGCAGTGAAAGGAAGAGGGGCTGTCTGAGATCTTGACTCATGCCAGAGTCATCGCGAGCTTTACAGCAAGTGTCTTTTAAATTAAATGTTTAAAATCTCCTATTGTTCAAACGACAGGTTGAGACTGTTACTTTTGCTATCAATAAAGTCTTAGAGGAAAAGTCAACCTATTGTTCAGAGGGGAAGCAGAAAGTCAATATAGTGAACAATATAGAAGGAAGGAATAGTACATTACCTGTCCTGTACCCCTCCCCTGCTACTGTGGGTAAGAACTTCACAACTGAATTTTCCTCTTCTCATTTCAGGTCTTCCCGGAATGTCAGCCCACCCAGGATGCGTATCCCAGGCAAAGTCAGATTTGTGTTGGAAATCTTGAAAGGACTAACTCAAGCATAGGAAAATGGTGGGAGCTGTGTTACTCAGAAGAGCATGCACATAGGTCCTTGCTGACTTGAGCCTTAAGGCTGCCAAGGTTCCTGCCCATCTGTGTGGGAGATAGCAAACATGGCCAGATTCTCCAGATTCTTCCTTTTTCTATCCATGTTCTTGGGCAGTCCCCTCCCACACTGACTCTGAGCAAGAGCGTGTGATTTGCTTTAGTCAAGATCAAATATACTGCAAGCAGAAACTTGAAAAGTGCTGTGTGCTGGGGCTTGCCCTCTTCTGCTGTACTTGGAACCCCAGGACCATTATGCAAATGAGCCGGCGGGGTGGGGATGAGTGATCACATGAAGGGGAAGTAAGATACCCTAGCCAACCAGGCAACTGACTGCAGCAGACCCGTGAGTGAGCCCCTAAGGAGATCAGCTCAGCCAGCATAGACAAGGACTTGCTCAAGCTTGCCCACATTGCTGATATACAGGATCTTGAGCTAATAAACAAATGGTTGTTTTGGGGGACCACTAATTTTCAGGCTGGTTTGTAACACAGTAGAAGCTGATACATCAACGTCCTGAAGCTGGAGTTCTTAGCTTTCCTCTGATTCTGTAAACAATTATACCCTTAAAATAAATTCCTTTTGCTTAAAGTTAGTATTCTGTTGCCTGCAGTCAAGCTCCTCCACTGTCAGGCAGGAGATAAATGAAAAGATCTTTGTAGGAACCATGGGCACATGCAAATTCCCAGAACCTTCCAAACTTGTCTGGTTATTGAGCAAAAATATTTCCATTTCAGTGCTCCTCTCTATTCTCCCTTGCTCTTTCCGCAAGGAAATAGAACAGTATTCTTCTTGCTTAAATAATACAAGGCACATACTTCAAATCCTGTAAGTTTGGACGGAAGGAACTTTAAGACTCTTATCCCAAGAGGTATCATCTTTGGCCTGGGTCACCCTGGCATCAACAGGTGGGAAGTGGATAGGCCCTGACTGCACTGTCAAGTGGTCAAGAGGATGCACTCTGGTTCCAGGCTGGTTCTTATCCCGGCTACTCCACCTACAGCTCTGTGACCTTCGGCAAGTTACTTTACAAATGCATGAGGCCTCAGTTCCCTCAACTATAAAATGGAGATAATAATGGTATTTACCTCCTAAGTTGTGGTGAGGACTGAGTTAATTATTTCAAGTTTACATAGCAAACATTATATAAGTATTTAGTAGTATTATCACAATTAATCCTTAGAATCCAGGTACCCTTCGGGAAAGATTTTGGAAAGAAACATTTGGCATTGTGGGAGCTTTGATACAGCCATAGAACAGGTTTTATTTCTAGCCCTTGCTTTGCCACAAACTCCCTGTGGTCTTGGGCACGTTTCTCAATGCCATTTCCCCACTTAACATGGGGTAACCAACATCCCTGTTCTAGTCTGGAAGCACATATGAAATAATACATGTGAACATGCTTCTAAACAGTCAAACGCGCTCAGCCACTGTTTGGTAAGTCCTAGGATTACTTTTCAGATAGTGAGGTAGTTTTAGATTCCAAGTGAGCCTACAATTTCTCACGATGTGTGAGTGGGTCCTTGGTGGGCAGTTACTGTATTTTAAAGATAAAAGACCATAAAAATGCAGAATGCAGTCTTGGAATAAAGACTTGGTTACAGAGATATTAAACCAAAATTTGTGTATCAAAGAGGCCATGGCCTTTTCAAAAGTCTCCCAGAGACCGTTCAGTGTTTCTGAAAAAGGAAATGAAATCAAATAACCAGAGAACAGGAGAAAGCAGAAAGGCAAGAACACTTTCATATGTTTACACATCCTGAACTGACCGATGTCCCTAAACTGACTCGCCCCCCGACTGTCCCTGGGACCGCGCTTGAGTGTTCTCTGCCTCAGCAGGGAGACAACTCAAGGTTTAAGGCCTGCTCAATCTAATGCATTCACGCGTGGATTCATTTTAAAGCACATTTGTTTCATAAACGTTCCAGTCACCAAGTTCTAAGATAAATATTGGTTTGTTTCTATAATATAAAGAAGATGAAACTTTTTGATAATTTTAAGGAAGAAGTTGTATTTGAGAAAATTTGGATGATGCAGAAACACATACAGACGATTAAAAGCACCTGAATCTTGCTGCCACCTGAGATGATCAATGTCACCATCACAGTGTGTTTCTTTCAAGCTGTCTCACTCTGCACATGCACGTTCATGAACACACACCTCTCTGCAAAGTAGGCATTCTTCTGCATACGCAGTTTTAGAGCCTAGGTTTTTTTGGCTTAATATTCTTAGATGAGAATTTTCATGGGACAACATTCAAAACAAGCCGTGGGGAAGACAGGAAGTGCCAGTAGTTGTTGGCAGGATCTGACCGAGCTGTTAGTATGAGTATTATGTTTGCTAAAGGAGTTTGGAATGCAGAGTATGCAATATATTAACTCCAGTGCATGTATGCAATGTCTGGCCAGCTCAGTGGGGAAGTGCAGGACATGTGAAAAGTAATAAGACAGTGTGATACTGGACAAAAGATGACCATTGCTGATGATCTGTTTCATGAAGTACATTTGACTCCTGTTGACATTTAAGTCAGGGATTTCATTAGACAGAGATGAGGTAATGGCATCAGGACTTCTATTTTCAAATCTAAAGCTTTTTGCCCGGCTGTGACACACTGAAATATTGACAAACATGCTGCCTTCTATTCTGTAAAAACAATAACCTTTGTGTCCTCACTGAGGACATTTCCTGGGGGTCAGATTGAATCTCCTCTGCAGCTGGACACACAGCAGATTGATACGTGTGGTCACTTGTTGCCTCTTCTTCTTTGCATATATGAGAGAAGTCCAGCGAAAGACATAAAACCAGAGTCATCTGCCCACCTTCAAGCCAGAAGCTCAGTTACACCAGGGGGTGGGGTGCACAAACAACATAAACCATAGAGGTCTGCTTCCTCAAAGACTTTTTAAGAGCATGCACCATACAGCGCAGGAATTTCTACCCTATCTTCAAGAGCAGACTGTGGCAAATACACCAGCAGCATGAGTTTGATAAGGGTTGTGAGCAAATAAAGACTATATAGTCCCAAAAATATGTAAAGAGGAAGAATGCAACTACTCTAGATCCTTAAGATTTCTGATTGAGATTAAGAGGGGTGGTGGAGGCCGGGCGGATGGGTACAAAATATCTATAGAATGAGCGCAACATTGAGCCAGGGAAACAGATCTTCATGGTGTTAGCTTTTCTTCAAAGTATTTGATCTGGGATTGGATTCTCTAACCCCCCAGAGCACTTGGTTACTTCTGGGGTGTGTCTGGAGCACCCTGCAGGCTTCAGGAACAGACTTCAGGTTTCAGGGCAGGAGAGGTGCCGGAAGGAGAGAGGGATAGTTACCCACCACGGCTGCCACCTCCCTCCGAGACAGCAGCAGCGGCAAAACTGACGCTCACCAGTCACGTGTCACATGCCAAGTGCTCTGCCCAGGGCTGGACCCACCGTCTCCTTTGATCCTGGAGGCTCCTACATGAGGTAGTTCCTCCCGTTACCCATATTTCGTCCATGGGGATCCTGAGGCATAGAGATTATGTGGTTCGACCAACATCACAGACGAGTAAGTGGTGGCACGAGGACCCGAACCCCAGAGGGCCGAGGCCACAACCCTCAGCTTGACCCCAGCTCTGAGCCTGCAGATCGACCCTTTAGGACCCTCTTTAGGACCCTCTCATCTAGAGCAAGTTGCCCAATTTCTAAATCTCAGCTTCCTCAGTTATAAAAAGGATAACAGCAATCTGGTCTATCTACCACGAAACAGTTGTGAGGACCAAACGAATCATGTGAGTGCCATTTGTCAAATATGGCATGCTCTACAATTTAAATTATTTTCACTATTTCTGATGAAAGGAAGAGAAAGAGGGCACTTGTTTCTTCATTTTGAGGGTTTTTTTTGCATAGTATAAAAGTTTTCATTTTAATAATCAACATAAGGCAATGAAAATAATTGATATTCACTAGTAGCTACATTAGGTATTGAGAAAAAGCAGAAAACACTTGAGAAAATTGAGAAAAAAGTATCAGGAAACTGTGATTAGAAAGAAACAAAACAAAACAGTGATTGTTTTGACAGGACAGAGACCTAGGCTGGCTCCTTGGGGGACTGTAGCTCTGGTGACAAAGTGGCTGTAACTGCTGGCAGGCAGGTGACACTTCCCTTTCTGGAAATGGAAATGAACTCTCACGGATTTGTAAGTCTCCAGATAAGGACTTCCTGCTCCACAAAAACAAAGCATAGCAGCTGGAAATCACAGCCTATCTCTGGTCTCTGTTCCACACCCTCGAGCTGCCATTCTTGGTCTGGTCTAGGGGAGGCTTCTTCAGCTCCAGGCTTCTAAATAAAGCCTCACTGTTTCAGAGACAAAAGTGCTAGCATTAAAAGCCAAGGTTAAAAAGAGTTACCTCCTGGCAAAGACACCCTGGACTCAGGCAGGCCTGATCTGTGGGAAGTCATTAAAGTCCTAAGCAGGCCTGAAGCCCCTGATCTAAACCCCTGTCCCAGCACACATGGGCATGAGCTCTTTGTGTTTTTTTTCCAGAAACGGCCAGTAAGTTCCTAGAGAAGAGACGCTACAATAAAAAGCCTTTTGAACTGAACTGCACTGGGGGACCTCACCTAGGAACCCAAAGTTGGGACAGAAGGAAAAATGGACATCTTCTGAAACTCAATGATAAAAGGGTCCGCAGAGAAGAGTTCCATCATCCGCCATTAAATGGTCTGTAAATGTGCTGCCCCCAGAGCTTTAGGAAATGCCCAAATCCAATCAAAGGTGACTTGGATATAATTTCAGAAAGACTTGCTAGGAATGGGTCTAAAGTCTACTACTCATAATCTAATTACAGAAGTTCAAAAGCTTATTTTTTAAACACAAGTAATCCATGTTCACTGAAGAAAATTGAGAAAATACAGAAAAATGAAAGAAGTAATAAAAAGCACCCAAAGTCCCACCTTTACCACCAAAATATGAGGCATCTGGGCCGTTACGACAGCTGATGAAGGAGAGACTGAAAATAATGGCCAAAAGTGTTCAAAAGTTAACTGTCATGTGATACTAAACCGTGCATGGTACCAGGATTTGGTGGTTATAGATATATATATATATATATTTCTGTCCTCTTAGGCAACAGCTCTATACCTCGCAAGACTGTTATGGAAGTGTGAATGAAAAATACTGCAAGCCGTATCAGTAAACAAAGAATGCTGTGACCATCAGGTCATCAGTCATCTCAGGATGCAAATAAGCAGGCAGCCTGGCCCCTGCAGCCATGCCCAGCGGTGCCCTCTGAGGGACATGAAAGCACAGGACACTGGCCCTAGATTGCAAGGTGCATGTCAAAGGAGTGATTCCAATGAGCCCAGACCTTTGTGCCTTCCCATACACAGAAGAGTGCTAAATTCTTTAACTTGAGATGTCTGGTTTTCTTTAGTTAACAGTGATCTTTCAACGTTCTGACTACCTGGCCTTTGCTGTAAAAACTCCTATATATCCTGGCTCCTCCGGTACCTCTTCAGCACGGTCCCTCAGGCCTATCTGAGAGGCTGTCATCTTGGGCTCGAAGGGGTTTGAGTCCTCAGAAATGTCCGCAGAATAAAACATAACTGTCAACT